CAAAAAAAAAAAAAAAAAAAAAAAGTAGGGGACTCAGGTTTTGTTCTGCCTGGCTGAGCCACCAGCCAGCCTCCCCGCTCCATCACTATCCCCGTCCCCAGGGCCGTCCGCCACCCCGCATATCTCCTCCGGGGGCCCCGGGGTGGCAGGGCTGACTTTGCTCCGTGCTGGACCTGGGAGCCGTCTCACGGGGGCTTTTCTCTTCCAAAGTGTTCGTTTAAAAAATGACTGTTCGGGGTTCAATGTCCAATAGTTAAAGAGCATCAGGAACCAAGGGCAGGATAAATTCATGACCGGAATCTCGAAGGAGAGAGTAATTTGTAAACTCACTGAACGTGTATGTAAGAAAAGCACTACCAAGTATTTGATGCCCGTAAGTGCGCTGCGGCCAGGCGTGGTGGCTCACGCCTGTAATCCTGGCACTTTGGGAGGCTGAGACGGGAGAATTGCTGAGCTCAAGAGTTTGAGACCAGCCTGAGCAACATAGAGAGGCCTCATCTCTATGAAAAAACAATCAAAAGATTGGCCGGGCGTGGTGGCGCACACCTAGTCTCAGCTACTTGGGAAGGTGAGGCAGGAGAATTGCTTGAGCTCAGAAGGCCGAGGCTGCAGTGAGCTGTGATTATACCACTGCTCTCTGGCCTGGTCAACAGAGTGAGATCCCAACTCTAAAATAAAATAAATAATAAAAAATAAAATCAGGCCGGGCTCAGTGGCTCAGTCTGTCATCCCAGCACTTTGGGAGGCCGAGGCGAGTGGATCGCCTGAGCCCGTGGGTTCAAGACTCACCTGGGCAACTTGATGAGACCTCATCTCCACAATAAATCAAAAATTTAGCTGGGTGTGGTAGCACGCGCCTGTAGTTCCAGCTACTTGGAAGGCTGAGGTGGAAGGATCACCAGAGCCCAGCAGGTCGAGGCTGGGGTGGCTGGGAGTGGCCACTGCACTCCAGTCTGGGCGACAGAGTGAAAAAAAAACGACTCAAAAAAAACAAAACAAAACAGATTCATCATAGAAAGCCCAGAAAATCTGGAAGCAAAAAGAAATACAAAATCCCCACAACCCCCTCTAGCTGAAATACATTTCTTGAAATACATTCCTTGCCCGGAGTCCCCCGTAACAGCTCCGAGAACAGCTTTTCCCATCCGTTTACACATTTACATATGTGTTACATGTGTCTATATTGCAAAAATGGGTCGTGTTGTACACACTGCTGTGTGGCTGGGCCGTTTCACCTCAAGGAGCACAGGATTTTCCTAATCAATGGGTATATTCTGGGAACACTGTGGGGTGACCCAAGGCCCAGGGAGTCAGCCTCAGGGACCATCTAGACAGGAGCCCTTCCCTGGCCTAAAGCTGCCCGTGTCTGGGGATCCCCGCAGAGGCCGCTTGCTCCCCAAGCTCCACCACCCCCGCTGGGGTCCCTCTGAGCCAAGCCCCTTCTGACCACACCAATGGGGGGTCTGGGAGCAGTTCTGACTCCTCGGCTGCTTGGCTGGGGTCTCTGCACCCCTCTCAATGCCCCGTGGTGTCTAATCCCCGTCGTTTCCAAAACAGAAGAGCGGCTTGAGTCTCTCTGGCCAGCTCAGAAACGGCTTCCTGGTCCCTCTGTGGGTCAGCAGGGTCCCCGCCTCCAAGCCCCACCCAGCGTGACTCACAGTGGCCTCAGCTCAGGACTCCAGCCCCACCAAGAGTTGTCGAAAGGAAGAGACAGATCCCATGATCAGAAAGGCCCAAGGACACCAGGGAAGATGGAGGGTACGGGGACCAGGACCCCAAGCACCTGGAGGACGGCAACCAGGTCCTGGCGACGAGGGTCCCGTGGCCAGGCTCAGGGTCACAGACTGGGCGCTTTGTTCTGTCCACGCATTTCTGTTTCCACCTGGGACTGATCCTCTGTCTCTCTCCTCCCCTCTCCCCTCCCTGCAGCGGCAGGGCGTGATGGAGAACAAAGCCATGTACCTGCACACCGTCAGCGACTGCGACACCAGCTCCATGCTCGAGGAGTCCTTCGACGGCAGGAGCCTGTCCAAACTGAACCTGTGTGAGGATGGTGAGTGCTTCCGCTCTGTCTTGGGGTGCAAGATCTGGCCGAGGGTGGGGAGGGTGCCCTGACCCCCACCCCACCTTGGCATTGTCCCGGGCGACCTCCCGGCTGCTAGTGCGTGAGTTTTCTCATTCATACATCTCAACACACTTGTACGAGCAACAAGGTGAACCCATTTTGCAGATGGGCTGGTTGAGGCCCAGGAGAGCATTAAGGGTCACACAGCTCGTCCGTCATAGAGAGGTTCCAGCACTGAGTCTCCTGACCCCTAGGACGGCCCTCAGGAGAGAAGAGACGAGAGGCTGAGGCTAGGGTCAAACAAGGGCACCTGAACCAAACCAGACCCCCTCATGGGAGGGAGGAGCCTCTCATTCACTTCCCAGAGCATCTGATGTGAAGCATGTCTCCAAGGTGCTCGTCTTCCCCTGGGTGGGAGTCCCCTGGACGTGCCACAGGAGGGGGTCTCCGTACCAGTGACCCCCCAAAGCCCTGCATCCTGGGGGCTGGTTATTTGCTAAAACTCTGGAGACCCCCAACATGCAACTTCCCTTAGGAAGAGCCCAGAGCACTTTTCCAGAAGCCTAATTCTTGTGCACCCAGCACAGAGCTTGGCACTCAGTAGGTGCCTAATGAATGCTTGGGCCCAAATACACTCCTCATTGCAGCACATGTCGGAAAGGAGAGCATTGCCCCTGCTTCAGAGGGGAATTGGATATGGCTTACAGAAGAGTCTTTCTAAGGGTTCTGGCCCAGCAGAGACAGGCCTTAGGTCAAGGTTTCCCTTGAGCACCATATCTTATTTAGCTCCACTCCATCAGCCTCTTGAAATTACTCAAGAGAGGCCAGGCGTGATGGCTCACACCTGCAATCTCAGCACTTTAGGAGGCTGAGGCAGGAGGCTTGCTTGAGGCCGGGAGTTTGAGCCCAGCCTGGGCAACATGAGATCTCCCACCTCAAACAAACAAACAACAAAGCCCCCAAAAATCATTTTTGAAAAATTAAAACTGGCACAGTAGCTCACACCTGTAATCCAAGCACTTTGAGAAGTCAAGAAGGAAGGATTGCTTGAGGCCAGGAGTTCGAGCCCAGCCTGGGCAACATGAGATCTCCCACCTCAAACAAACAAACAACAAAGCCCCCAAAAATCATTTTTGAAAAATTAAAACTGGCACAGTAGCTCACACCTGTAATCCAAGCACTTTGAGAAGTCAAGAAGGAAGGATTGCTTGAGGCCAGGAGTTCGAGACCAGCCTGGACAACATAGCAAGACGTCACCTCTACAAAAAAAATTTCTAACAAATTTTAGCTGGGCATGGTGGCACGTGCCTGTAGACCCAGTTGTTTAGGAGGCTGAGGCAGGCGGAACTCCTGTCCAGGAGGTCAAGGCTGTGGTGAGCTGTGATGGTGGCACTCTGCTCCAGCCGGAGCAACAGAGCAAGACTCTCAGCTCAAAAATAAATAAAAAGAAGAAGAGCAGGGACTCCACCTCTTGCAACAACCCTGGCTTTTCTCCCTCAAGGCACTGCGTGTAGGAAAGGGGGTGGTTCAGAGAGGCAGAGCAGGGAGGACCTTGGCAGGCAGAGCAGACAGGGAGATCTGTGCTCCTGACCGACGCACCTGCCCGGCCTGCACCGGTGGACTGTCACCTTGTGTCTTTTCCCCCTCCAGTCCAAATGTTCTGAGGACACACAACATGCCCGACTGTGGGTTGGTCCAAAGGGAAATGCAACCAGTCTTTGCCCTCTCAAGGCTTAAGATCCCGTGGAAGGGGCGGGCATGGGAACAACTGCCCAAAAATATAAAGAAGGTTAAAACAGGTGTGAGGATGGAAGTCAAGGAGGTGGAGGGCTTTCTGGAAAAAGGCCTGGAAGACTGGAAAACACTGTGAAGAGAAGATGCAGGGACGGGTACTAGCAGCTTTTGGACACAAAACCCAAGTTCATCGTCTTGGGCAAGAATGTATGTGGGCTGGGCCAGGACAGGCATCCGTGTTTGGTTCATTGATGTCTCCCCAACCCAGCACACAGCAGGTGCTCACTAGGCGTGTGCTGAATGAATGAGTGAATAAATGAATGGACGGATGAGGGAGTCAAAAGAGAGGTCCTTGAAACTTAAAGGTGGCAAAACAGATACCTCTGAACCTTACTTTATATTTCCGAATTCTCTGTGTCATCCCCTTCTCCCTTCCTGGCTACCAGGTAGAGGGGCGGGGCTGTGAGGGGCCAGACAGAGTGGCGTGCCGAGTGGCTTAAAAAGCTGGTGGGGCCGGGCTCGGTGGCTCAGCCTGTCCTCCCGCGCCTTTGGGAGGCTGAGGTGAGTGGATTGCCTGGGCCCGTGGGTTCGAGACCCACCTGGGCAGGTGAGACCTCATCTCTATAATAAATCAAAAAATCAGCCGGGCATGGTAGCGCATGCCTGTAATTACGGCTACTCGGAAGGTTGAGGTGGAGGGATCGCCGGAGCCCAGTAGGTCGAGGCTGCGGTGGCCGGGAGTGGCCGCTGCACTCCAGTCTGGGCGGCAGAGTGAGACTCCAACTCAAAAAAAAAAAAAGCTGGTGGGTTTCTGAGTTGATGTTTTCTCCATTTCCCTTTCACTTCTGGGAGGAAAACGATGAGCCTGACTTGGAGACGTTCAAGCCAGATTTGCTCTGCCTCTGCAGGACTTTGCTGCCTCTTTGACCCACATCTCCGCAGTTTCACAGGGGAGGAGGAAGAGGGTGGAAAGAGACGGGCGGGCTCAGGGGCTCAGCCTCTCATCCCAGCACTTTGGGAGGCTGAGGCGGGTGGGTTGCCTGAGCCCGTGGGGTTCGAGACCCGCCCGGGCAACTTGGCAAGACCTCGTCTCTACAATAAATCAAAATTTAGCTGGGTGTGGTAGTGCGCGCCTGTAGTTCCGGCTCCTTGGAAGGCTGAGGCGGAAGGATCACCGGAGGCCAGCAGGTCGAAGCTGCGGTGGCCGGGAGTGGCCACTGCATTCCAACCTGGGCAAGAGACTCCAACAGAAAGAAATAAAGGAAGAAAGGAAGAAAGAAAGAGAAAGAAAGAGAGAGACAGAGAGAGATGAAGAAAGGGAGGGAGAGTTGGCACCTCTGAATCTAGGTCAGGGCCACACCAAGAACCCTTTATTTATTTATTTATTTTTGAGTTGGAGTCTCACTCCGTCGCCCAGACTGGAGTGCA